GTGGCTTAAATGCACAATGTCTGCCATATGTAATATCACGATTACCATAACCAGCAAAGAAAAATTGGCAAAGGCGCCACCTGCAGGAAAAAGGACATGAAAATGCAAAATCTCCTGTTCTTGTTGATGCCATGCAATCATTAAATGGCATCATAGTACTGTGAGAATTTGCTCTTTGATGAGCTTACCTCATTTTGCCAATTGTACTCTATTCAGTTGCATTGCTGTCAGATTCTTCACCAGTGATGTCATCTGCTTGCAGTTTCTTTTCTGTTGTTTTTGGTTCTGTCCTGGGCTCATCGGAGAAACGTTTTGATCACTTCTGATCGTGTAGAATTCTACGTGCAGGATCGTGGTACATTTGGACGGAGCGTCTAGGCTTCAGGTGCAAATATATGGCAGATCCTAAAATCCCAATCCGGAGAAACTTTTTGATGGGATTCTAGTCCAAATGTATGGCAGATCCCGAATCTCAATCCACACAGCCGAAATAAAAACAGAAACAACACCAACATGACAATCAACTACAGTTCGCGCAACAATAGACTGGCACAACAACCGACTGTTCCCATCGCACCAACTGGCAATATGGAAGCCAAACAACAATACATGGGGCACAACGAAAAATTTCTTCTGATGACGATTGTAACAAAAACTGTGTGTTGGTCTAAGGATCATGACTTTGTCGGTAAGAAGTTCATAGACACCGTCTAGGGCGCACATACATCATCAACTCTGTATGTGAAGACGTCCCTAGATGGAGGAAGATGGTGCCTAATGGCGTTATCCGGTGCCAAATTCAAACTCAAGCCCTATCATCAGAATCTGTTGCTCTTGGGACACTGGCCTTGGTGGACCCAGAAAGCCACAAAAAAACCGACAATACACCAATCTCATCTCTGCATATATTTTGAGCAAGTGCGTTGTTAGCGGAAGAAGAATTCGACCATTGGTATATAAATTTTGACCAATATGATGAGTTGGTTTGGTAATATTATAGTTTGCTCCGTTTTGGCGGGTCCTCCTGGCACCATGGAGGCAGAAACCCAAACAACAACCTGCCAGTCCCTTTTACTGCCTCTAATGGACAACGGATTACTGGACCTATCCCCTTGGCAAAGATCCTGATGGTGAACCTATGATCATCAAACCTACCGGAAAACTGAACCTTGATTTGTTTGTCGATGCCGACTTCTGCGGACTCTACAACACCGAACCTCACACTGATCCAAAATCCGTTCGATCACGCACCGGGTTTATTGTCAAGTTGAGCAATTGTCCACTGATTTGGCGCTCCCAGCTACAAACATCCATCACTTGCTCCACACTCGAGGCCGAATACAATGCTCTCTCTTCTGCTGTAAAGACCTTAATTCCATTGAAGCGTCTTCTCATTGAAGCCACCGACCACGTTGAACTCGACAACGGCATCCGCGCCACCATTCGGGCCTCAGCTTTTGAAGACAACCAAGGAGCATATTTTCTGGCCACCAATCAAAGAATCACATCTCGCACCCGCTGGTATCTCAACAAGTGGCACTGGTTCTGGCAACACGTCACCAAGGACGGTGTTGGCCCAGAAACTGTTGCCATCCACGAGCTGGACACATCGCTCCAAGATGCTGATTACTTCACAAAGGCACAGTCTTGTGAACCTTTCGAGAGCAATCGCTTTCGAGTGCAAGGGTGGTAACACCTTTGCACAACCACCCTAACCCTTGTACATTTGCATCGAGCAGAGAGACGTAGACAACTCCGGTTGTTGAACTCGCCTGCTCACCAGTGAGATGCAATATCTTTCAGATCTATTTGTTTCGCAAATTTTCAGTGATGACGTTTTGTGTTGAATTCCGGATGAGAGGGAGAGTCGAAAGTCGTCTGTTTGTCCATCAGATGATAGCCGTTTTGTTGAACGTCTGCACCCCAACGGCTAACGTATCCAAAGTATCTTATACAGGTATCAAGATTACCAATCTTGGCTACCATCTTCCCTCGCTAAGCCTCGCCACATTCTCAACGTTGTTAAGACTAAGCATCGCCATTGCATGCGTTGAGATGGTCGGAGTTTCATCCTGTTTGCATCCTTCACAACACAAAATCACTATAATTTTCAGAATACTGTTTTATCACACATCTTTCGGACATTTACAACTATTTCAGTACTTGAAGCACGACAAGCCTGGACAACCTTGTGCCTGCATTCTCAAGTAATCAAGGCTTACACGCTACAGCTTTGAGTATGCTTCATAATCATATGGGCTCTCTGAAAATATCGCAGTTAGGGTTAGCCCCAAAAAGACACGCCCTGCTGATTTTGGGGCATGTTCCCTTAAATATCAACTGACTTTCTTTTCCGATGCGAGGCCTGGTTGGGTGAGTCAATTTCTCAACAATCGTTTTACTGTGTTGAAATTATCTTTTCTTACAGACGATATACTATCAACATAGATAATCTTTCTTTGACAACTTCATCATCAATCATAACGGTAGGTGTCGCAAGAAAGTGTCTGCAATGATTTTCCCACTGCCTAACACAATACATTTTTGGCTCAGATACTCTTCTTCTGGAATTGTAATGGCTTCGGACGTTTTGGTTCCTTCAATCACTTTCGTTCTGAGGTGAGAACCTGATTTGCTTTTTTGTGTCCTTGCTTTTGCCACAATGCCCTTTATTACAAACTTCCTTCTTTTGTCAATCTCAGCACTCGACTTTTTGTTGATTTTGTGTTCTTCATTGATGAACTTGCAATTGGAAAATTTGTTGCCCCCACAGGCCCATACTTGCTTTTGACAATAGGGAAACCAAACACATCGATGAGCAACCCGTTCGAGGTCCCTCGATGACTTCCCTTTTTCTGTTTTGATTTCTTTTGCAGCTTGGATTCAAATGGCACATGGTTGATTTGATTGTACGCCACGTCTGGGGGCACTACATTTACCTTGTTGGCCAAAGGTTGCTTGTGGGAATAGTATGTGCCTTCAACTTGTGTTGGTAGTTTTGTTTCTCATATCTGGAGGTATGTAGTAAAATCCATTCTCAGCATTTTCAGCAAAATTATCAAACCATTGTGCTATCTCCTTGGTTCTAATGCTGACAAATCCACAATTGCTCCAAATTTCATGTTGCACCACTCGAATGTTATTTGCATGATCCAGTTTCTTCACCCTCAACCAGCAGATCAATATCTTCCCCGTCTTCCATTGGTACTGCCTCAGTTGCCTTCCGAAGAAGCACATCAAGATAGCTCAACTTGGAAGGATTGAATAGTGGCCTCACTTAGCATCTCCGGTGTGCTTGATGGTTGGCATTCACTGCCATCTAGATGGATCCTGACTTGCGTTGCAGCCACTGCCAGTCCTAAATTGGGAACATTGTTGTGAAGCTCTCTCATTGTCTCTGCAGTTGCTGGCCAAGTCGAGTTCCTTCGTTTTGGTTCAAAGTCTTTGTCGATAAGACTTTCAATAGCAACAAGGCAGTCCCTTCTGCCCAATGTCACACCACCCCACCATCTGTTCGCCTCTGGCACCAACAAAGATCAGATGCCCAAAAGCAATATCTTTTGCATTATGTGTCACCGTACACCGTTTCCCAACCTGCAAAGTTGGATGTTGATTACCAATGCCATTTGCTAATGATTCTACCATCCGGTGAAAAACCCATAGTGAGACCACTGCATCAAGTGTGCAGTATTGTTTGTCTGTAGGTGTCAGTGTTGGTTTTGCATAGCTAGACAACTGCGCAGCTGACTTGTTCATCGGGTACATGCACTGGAGGTACACTTTGATCAAGTTGCAAAGGGAAAAGCTTGAAAGCTCACCATTGTCCAATCGACACAAGTTACCTAGCTCAATCATTCTATTGAACTTAATACCATACTGTTCCTCTAGCTTCTTACAATCACCTCCAATCAAGCGTCCGGTTGGAATCATACTTGGAAGCTCCAAGAGGCGCTTTAAGTCAGCAGGGAACTGCTCCTTGCCAATCTTGTGTAGGTGAATGACAATGGCAATAGGGACTGTTGTTCCTAGTTCTGATCCTCTCAATGACTGAGGGAATGCCAGCGACAATACAGTAAGTTTGCTGTCTCTCCCAAACTCTGTATCCAAACCATAGAAGATTTCTTGATCATCATGCTGAATGAAGATGTCTATTAGCGTCAAGATGTAAGCATTGAGGACACTGCCAACATCAAAAGAAACAATGTCATCAGGGGGTATTTCAATCATTGGCAGTGAAGCACGAGCCACAATGCCCTGCTCCAGTTCTGGAAATACTTCATAGTAAGGTGCTTGTTCCCCTATAGGATTGTCTGTTTGGAGTAGACGTAAAGGTGGCGCGCCAACATGGTCCCTTGCAATCTTAAGTCCCTGCAGAATAAGCCTATTTGCAGCGTGGGACATGCTTGTCTTCTAGACAGCAGCAACAATCTTTCCGCACTGTGATAGCAAAGTCAGTACAGAAGCATAAGGCTTCACCCGGTTCCCTCCCGATGTTGTCACATACACCTTCTTCGGAAGCTTGAAGGTGTCATCAGCTCGCAAGCCGCCATCGTGCCATGCGGCAAAAGAATTCTGATTATATTGAAATCTCTTGCCGCCTTCTACAAGCCGAAACAGTGTCTTTGCCAGGCCTTCTGTCATCATGATTCCATTATGATGCCCAGCTGCACCAAATGCTGAGTAGGGGACAATCGGTCGGCCATCATATTGTCCCTTTCCATCCCTTGCATGCAAAGGCACCGTGCTGTCATAGCAGGAAGGTGACGGCCACTTTGCAAGCCAATCATTTAAGACTTCATAGTACTGATTGCACTTTTGAAAGTACTTTTCCCACAAGAGATCATTGACCTCACGGGCCCATGCTCCAAAAAGGACATGATTGTCTATTTGCAGTGACAACCGACGAAGCATGACTCGATGCACCCCAGGTCCTTGTGGCGGGAAGACAAACTCAAAGCTTTCTGCAATGCTTGTGGGGAGCATTCCAAGGAAAGAAGGATCAGTTGAACTAAACATAGCATTACAATCTTTGCAGAGCAAGCAATGGCAATAGACCCATCTGATCTCATTGTGCTCAAATGCTGGCCGCCAAGTTTGTGCGTTGTGTTCTATGGAACAAGATTTGCAGTGGGGGCACTTGTAATCAAACTGAATGCTGTGAAACTGTTCCTTGGGTTTCCAAATCCGAACCATATCTGGCAAATAGAACTTGTCTGGAGCTGGCGACGACCCAAGGCCACATGTCAATGGTGACTCAAGCGTCCGATAGTAGTATTGGCGGCACTTCCAGAGGCCATTGTTTTCAGCATGGCGTGCCTTTGGGAGGCATAATCGACCTTCTGTAGTATTTGGCTTCATTGTCTGTAGTAGGCGAAGTGTCATAGGTGACATTCCAATTGTCGGATGTAGAGTCAATGATACCAAGTGTAGGCACATTTTTCCCTTTGGGCATTGACGGGTGATCAAGCACTTCTGCAAGCATTCTTTGCGATTCTTCAAAGTTTTTTTTTCGCATACAGGATGATCTGTCCATTTGGGAGGATCCACTGCTTTCTTTCTCCGTTTGAAAAAATTATCGGTGCATCGTCGTTGTTCCCCTTTTTCTTCTTCCAATCATTTCTTGTACTTCCTTGATCTTCTATCTCCTCCGGCCGAATGACCTGAAGGCCGTTCTCGTGCCATGGTTCAAGGCCTCTCTCTTACTTCTCGTTGTCACCAAAGTTATAGCGTATTTGAGCTGCGAATTGGGTTTTGATGTGTGTGAATTTTTTTTGCCTGTAGCATTGGTGAGTTTCTCCGTGACGAACAATATTTTTGATTCGCCTTTTTTGAAATCTAAGTAACCTGGATATGGGATCTGCTCCCGTCACGTACCGTACTGGTATGTAGAAACTGGTAGACGCAAGCAAATTTGTTGACCAAGATTATACGATACCTGCCCAAAACTTCGGGCCTTGGTTTGCGAAACCTAAAAATGACCCCCTGTAATATTGAGCTCTATGACATACCTGGGGCCAAGGCCTTGGATCTACCCTGGCCCGACATATACGAGACACCTGGATACGCCGAGGCGGATTTGTGCACACAGGGACCAGGAACAACATGGGAGCTTGCTGTGTGGAAACAATCGGCTGACGGAGTCTCAATTGCGTACGGTTACTTCAAGCGGCCTGTCCTTATAAAAGGGAAGATAGTTGGTCAAGATCTCTCAACATGCTACGGATATGCTGCCCCCTTTGCCACTTCTCCAGTAACACCCGAGGTTTGGGCCGCATTTAGGCAAGACTTTACACAGCTTTGCAATACAATGGAATACGCGGCGGAGTTCATTCGTTTCTCGCCTCTCCGACCGGAGGAAACAAATGCCTTCATAGAGGGGTGTTCCCGCGTCTCTCCTGCTTTGCTTTGCTGGCATCACCAAAATACTGTTGCAATCCAGCTCGATTCGTACTGGGAGCGAGCTGCAAAAAATCATCGAAGAAGTGTGAAGAAGGCCCAAAACCTAGGGTATACAGTGGAACTCAGGCTAGCAACTCTCTCGGACGTTGCAGCTGATTCGCCTTTCTATCAGCTCTATGAGCACACAATGCAACGCGTGAGGGCTCGCGATTCTTACTTTTTCCCAGCCGACTACTATTCGACGCTCATTAAATCTCTGCCGAGTGATTGCCTTTACATTGTCTTGGTTCGCCCTCCTTTTGAAGCAGAAACTCATGAGATTAATCGTGTGCCATCAGTTGTCGCTGCATCTCTCTACTTTCACCATGGACCTCACTTTCACTACCACCTTGGAGGCTCAAACACTTTATACCTCAACCATGGCGTGAACAATTTGATGCATGACGCGGCGGCTCGATACAGTCGCGGCACTCTCGGGTGCACACTTCTGCACCTTGGCGGTGGGCTCAAAGAAAACGACTCTTTGTACAAATTCAAGCGTTCAATTGGAGACATACAACTGAAGTGGTACCTTGGGAAAGCGGTACTCTCGAAGACGACGTTCGAGCGGCTGGTTGTTGCGAGAGCGACATATCTGGGGATGACCCCAGATACTTTGTATTCCTCCACGGATTTTCATCCAGTTTACAGAAAGGGCGTAGTGGCCAACGAGCTCGAGACCTCCTCAAAGAGACGTCCGACCGTCTATGCCTTGATCGGTAACGACCAGCGCTGGCCCGCCTTGAAATCGCTGATGAAGCTCGAAATGAAAGGTCACATTGACCTCAACGTTTTTATTCCCTATGGATCAAAGTACAAAAAATTTGAAAAACAACTTGCCTTGGAAAGGCTGACATACAAGTCTGTTAAAAAGATGGAGTTTGAAGGACTCCTTGTATCATCCTTTCCGTCGATTGTAGTCACCTGTGGATGGCCATTTATCCTTACCACTTCACTACTACAACAAGCAAAGAGTTCGATTTTCATTAATTGTCATCCTTCGCTTCTTCCGAAACATCGCGGCAGTGCCCCTTTCTGGGCTGCAATAATGGCGAGGGATGAATATGCAGGAAGCACGGTGCACAAGACGGATAAGGGAGTTGATACAGGACCGATTCTTCGACAAGAGTTGTTTTCAATCGATCCATTTGATACATATGCTTCAGTGAAAGCGAAGAGCTTCCAGGCAGAGGCAAAGAATCTCCATGAGAGCATCCTGACCTTACTTGAGGCAATGCCAAAGGAGACTTCCAATAATGCAAACAGGGATCTTCCAGATCTTTGGGATGAAGTAGGTAGGCTATTTCAACCGCAGAAGGTGAAGGAACAGTGTGGCATAACGCCTCGGCGAAGACCAGCCGACTCGGAGGTTGATCCAAGCAAGTCGCTGATTAGTCTTTATGATCACATACGCACTTGCGATCAAAGCTTTCCTGCCTTCTTTTTCATTCATGGGCAAAAGGTGATTATCCAGCTTTCCCGTGAACACCGTCCAAAAGGTTCTCATCCTGAGTCATTGTGATGGTCCCAATTTGTTGTTTTCACCCTTCGAGCTTTCAAACCAGTACTCCAGGGGAGGGGAAATCTTGTTTGGGTGTATCGTTCTGTAGAGTGTCATATAATGGTACAGTACCAGAGTAGTATTTCATAGTACACCCATCAGATTTGGCAAAGACTATGTAGGGATACCAAATAAAGGTGACTGTGCTATTGGATACAAGATGCGTCGTATTGATACGAACGTGTGCGATTGCAAGCGGTCCGTGTGTAGTATGGATACGTTTGATGTGGATACCAAATAAGGTGACTGTGCTATTGGATACAAGATGCGTTGTACAGTACTGATACGAACGTGTACGATTGCAAGCGGTCCGTTAGTAGTGTAAGGATACGTTTGTGATTTGCAATACCGTCTACCATAGCTACTACTTTGTAAGCCAACAACATCGTAACGTTGTAACAATAATATTTATATTATACTGTACATGGTACAATGTACTGTAGGCATGGAAATTTAGTTATGGCAAATGCATGGCATGAATTATCTGCATGGGTGTGATTGATGCCCATGAAGGTAGAAACGTCATGTCAATGGATCTACCTATCGCGTTTATTCAAACATTGATGCCCAAGCAGGATGAAGGAGAAGATTGAGTGAAAACAGAAATTACTGGATTGCTGGTTGATTGTATGATTGACCTATCGGAATTTTGTGGTAATCAAAAATGGACCTCAAGTGATCTATGTTGTGACCCTCTGTGCTATGTATGGGGATGTTACAGGCTTTGTTGCATTGGTATCAAAATCTGAGAGCATCATTGTGTTTAACATATACAATCCGTGTATTCCAAATATGATGGTGTTGATGATGTGCAAGCAAGCCACATGGAACAAGCAGTTCTTGAAGATTATTTACATGGATAAACAAGAGATACAGAGGACTGAAGGAGGTGACTTGTACATGGGGACAAGTTCACACCTATCTTGGAATGGCATTAGATTATTCAAAAGAAAAGGGAAGTTGAAAATTCAAATGGATGATTATGTCCAGAGAATGTTTAACAAATTTTCTGTTAAGTTTAAGAAAGAGGAGAAGCAGGAAACACCTGCTGGCAATAAGTTGCTGGAGGTAGGAAAAGGAAAACTATTGGAAAAAGAACAACAGAATGAGTTTCACAGGCTTGTTGCAAAACACTTGATTTTGACCAAACGGGCGCATCAGAATATGCATCCGGCAGTGGCAATTTTGGTGCCATGAGCTCAAAATCCAAAGCAAAGTGATTGGCACAAAGTTGTAAGACTGATGAGATACATACACAAAACCAAGGAGTGGCATTGATTCCGCTTTTATTTGCTGTATCGAGCAGAGATAGTGACTTATGATCTGTTGTAGGTCATCACAATGGCTGTAGATCCTTTTCTTTCCACCAGCAGGCAGTGGGGGCTTTCGTGCCACAGGGTGCATCTATGGGGATCGGGTATGCAAAGAGAGTCACCAGAGGTTTGGGAAGATGAACGACACCAGAGGTGGTTTTTCACAGTCCCAGCTGAGGTAGGAAGTCGCAAAGGAGCGGAAGAGCAATAATAATAATAATAATAATAATAATAATAATAATAATAATAATAATAATAATAATAATAA